TGCTACCATACCATAGGAGTCTATTGTGGCTATTCCCCTTCTCAAACAGGTATACAATTTTGAATACAGTTGTGGGGGATAGCCTCTCAGGGGAAAATAGCAGCAACAGCCATGCGTTTGGCACCATGGCTAGCTCTGCTGTACAGCAGAGTATGACAAAGTCCAAGCAACCAATTGTGATAAGGGTCTCACTAGTTAGGGATACAGACAGGTCTTACTACAGCCACGAGCAAAACTTCAGGATGGTATGTTGCCTCCTTGGTGCCAGGGTCAAAGATATTTTGGAGCAATTGCAGCAAATTCTCAGAGGCGAGCACGAGAAGCCATAGGTTATTGTACACATTGGTACAAACGACATAGGTAGAAAAATGGATGGAGGTCTTGCAGAATGAAAATAGGGAGTTAGACAGAAGGTTAAAAAGTAGGACCTCAAGGGTATTAAGCTCTGGATTACTCCCAGTGTCACGTGTTAGCGACAGTAGGGATAGGAGGAGAGGGCAGTTGAATGCGTGGCTGAACAACTGTGCAGGAGGTAGGGTTTCAGATTCTTGAATTATTTGGATCTCTTCTGGAGCAGAAGTGACCCCTTACAGGAGGGACAGGTTTCACCTGAACTCGAGGAAACCAATATCCTGGCAGGGACATTTGCTAGAACTGCTTGGGAGGATTTAAACTAGTCTGGCAGGGGGTTGAGGCCCTGAGCAGCAGTGAGACAAGAGAGAATGTTGAGGCTGGCACAGAAGTTAAAGACAGCAAGTTAAGTAGGCAAGGCAGGCAAGAGCACGGCACAGAATGAGGGAAAACTGATGAATTAAACAGCATTTATTTCAATCTGACAGGTAAAGCATATGAACTCAGGGCATGGATGAGAACATGGGACTGGGATATCATACCTATTACAGAAACATGGCTGAGAGGGAAACAGGACTGGCAGCTCAACATTGTCAGTTATAGATGATACAGAAAGACTAGAAGGGGAGGCAAGAGAGGAGGGGGAGTGGCGTTTTTGATTCGGGAAAACATCGCAGCAGTATTTAGAAGGATTGTCCAGTGAAGCTATGAGTGGAACTGAGCAATAAGAAGTGTGTGATCACTTGGATGGGGTTATCCTCTAGGACCCCAATAGTCAGCAGGAAATTGAGGAGCAAATATGTAGGGAGATCAGAGATAGCTGTAGAACTGTAATAGGGCTGTAATAGTAGGGGATTTTAACTTTCCATAGACTGGCACTGGTATAGTGTTAAAGGCGTGGATGGGGAGGAATTTGTTTAGTGTGTTCAAGAACACTTTCTCAATCAATGTGTAGATTGCCTATTAGAGAAGAAGCAAAACTCAACTTCCTATTGAAAAATAAGGTATGGCAAGTGACTGAGGTGTTAGTGGGGGAGTATTTGGGACCAGTGACCAAAATTCTATTCATTTTAAAATAGTTATGGAAAAGTACAGGCCAGGTTCGTAAGTTAAAGTTCGAAACTGGGCAAGGCCAATTTTGATTGTATTAAACAAGAGCTTTCAAAAGTTGATTGGAGGATGCTGTTCACAGGTAAAAGGGACATTTGGCAAGTGGGAGCCTTTCAAAGGGAGAGAACAAGAGTTCGGAGACAGCATGTTCCTGTTAGTGTGAAGGGCAAGGCTGGTAGAAATAGAGACTTGAAATAGGAGGTTCTGGTCAAGAGAAAGGAGGAAGCATATGATCAAGTAAATCACTTGAGTGGTGTAGGAGTACACTTAAAAAGGAAATCAGGAAGGCAAAAAGGGGACATAAAATAGCTTAGGCAGATAAATTAAGGAGAATCCAAAAAGAGATTCTTCTATAAGTATATTAAGGGCAAAACAGCAACTAGGGAGAGAATAAGGCCCCTTAAAGATCAATGAAGCTATCTACGTGTGGAACCACAGGAGATGGGAGGGATATTAAACAAACATTTCACATCAGTATTTACTGTGGAGAAAGACATGAAAGCTAGGTAACTCAGGAAAATAAATAATGATGTCTTGAAAATAATCAAGATTACAGAAGAGATGGTGCTGGAAATCTTCAAATAGATAAATCTCCAGGACATAATCAAGTATATTCCAGGACATTATGGGAAGCTAGGGAAGAAATTGAGGGACCCCCGAGCAAAGATACGTGTATCATTGACAGTCACTGGTGAGGTACTAGAAGACTAGAGGGTGGCTAATGTGGTGCCATTATTTAAGAAAGGTTGCAAGGAAAAACCAGGGAACTACAGACCGGTGAGCCTGACTTCAGTGGTGGGTAAGTTGTTGGAGGGGATTCTGAGACACAGGATCTACATGCATTTGGAAAGACAAGAACTGATTAGGGACAGGCAGCATGACTTTAGGCATGGGAAATTATCTCTCTCAAACTTCATGTAGTTTTTTTTGAAGAGGTGACCAAGAAGATAGATGAAGGCAGAGTGGCAGAGGGTGGTGATAGAGGGCTGTTATTCAGACTGGAGTCTTGTGACCAGCGGTGTGCCACAAGGATCGATGCTAGGTCCACTGCTATTTGTCACTTACATAAATGATTTTGATGGGAATATAGGAGGCATGGTTAGTAAGATTATGGATGACACCAAAATTGGTGGTATAGTGGATACTGAAGACAGTTTTCTAAGATTACAACGGGATCTTGATCAACTGGGCCAGTGAGCGAACGAATGGCAGATGGAGTTTAATTCAGATAAATGCAAGGTGTTGCATTTTGGTAAGACAAACCAGGCCAGGGCAAGAATTACACAGTTAATGGTAAGATCCTGAGGAGCATTGTCAAACAGTGAGACCTAGGGATTCAGGTACATAGTTCCTTGAAAGTGGCAACACATGTAGACAGGGTGGTGAAGAACACATTTACACTTCCCTTCATTAGTCAGAGCATTGGGTACAGGAGTTGGAAAATCATATTATGGCTGTACAAGACATTCGTAAGGCCACATTTGCAGTACTGTGTATAATTCTGATCACCTGCTATAGGAAGGATGTTATTAAACTGGAAAGCATGCAAAAAAGATTTACAAGGATGCTGTTGGGACTGGAGGGTTTAAGTTACAAGTAGAAACTGGATAGGTTGGAATCCTTTTCCCTGGAGTGCAGGAAGCTGAGGGGTGACCTTAGGAGGTTTATGAAATCATGACAGGCACAGATAAGGTGAATAGCCAAGGTCTTTTCCCCAGGGTGGGGGATTCCAAATGAGGGGGCATAAGTTTAAAGTAAGAGGGGAAGGATTGAAAAGGGACCGGAGGGTCATCTTTTTCACATGGAGGGCAAAGTGTATTTGGAACAAGCTACCAGAAGAAGTGGTAGAGGTGAGTACAATTACAACATTTAAAAGACATGTGGACAGGTACGTGGAAAGGAAAGATCGAGGGACATGGGCCAAACAAGACTAGTTCAGTTTAGGAAACTTGTTTGGCACAGATGAGTTGGGTCGAAGGGTCTGTTTCCGTGCTGTATGACTCTATGACCTTGACCTTGCAATGCACATACTTCACACAATTTTGTTGTTTGGAAATTACAAGTGATAACAATCAGAGCTAAGGATCAAATTATTGTTACTTCCATGTACTCCATAACCTGAAAAATTAGATGTAGAAACCAACACAATTGTCAGAAGCAACAGAATGAAAACTTCAAATTTTGAAATCATGTGCTAATTTGGATGTTTATTATGCTGAAATACAACATTTTTAGAACAAAAATAAGTTTAAATAATGTGTAAGAGTTTTTCTGTTTCACAGTCGAATTTTATTTGAGCATACGATATTTATTTCAATACCCTGTTCCAAAGAAGGAATGAGAAAGATATCGACTACCTAAGAACAGCAGTCCTGTGCCATATTGTTCATTTGGTTTTATAGTGTGCTAGATCCACTAAAGTTAGAAACGCTGTGGAAACTCAGGTTACTCAAATGTTACTTTCATCTTTAAACTTTAATTTGGTTGTAGAAGTTTGAAGAACAGTGTATAACCAGTACATAATATGTTGGTCAGAAAACTATAAATGCATAGTCCCTTCTCATACAAACCTTTCTTCTCCCCTCTTTATACCCCACCACCCGCACTCTTTCACATGCGCACAGCAAAGACCCAACGTAATTTGCCACTGAAATTCCCAAGGTTGTTTGCAGTTCACGTTTGTTGGGTTTTGCAGAAGTATATGAAATTGTTTTTAGTCTTGCTTAAGTAGCACTGGTATACAAATCAGCAAGTGATGGTTACAGCAACTCCATATTTAAAAATATTATTGCAAGTACAGTCTTGTCAAGTACATTATTTACGAAATTAAAAACTGCAACGAAGCCATCTTAATTTCATGCTTTGACAATATGCTTCTTACATGATCGGAATTCATCTTACATTGCTCCAAACAATTATCTCTGACACACCTTTAATTAACCACCTTTTCAACTGTGTGCTCTACAATTCATAATTCTTACTAAAGATACATCCAAAGTTCATAATTCCTAAACTATATTATACTGTATAAACTACATAGAATGTATATTTTGCATTCATTATGGCTTAATTAATCTAATTATTCCAATGTATAAAGCATATGCTTTCATATTATCCAACATTTACAATTCAAGCTGTAATAGAATCAATTTATGATGGTTCAAGATTACCCTGGCACGGAAATTAAGCAAAAAACATTGAAAATAAATTTAGAATTATATTGCAAATTATCAGATAACTCAAAATATACAATGAATTGTGTAAACTATTTAGACATGCTTTGTTTCAAATATCTGTTCCAATTCTCAATTATTCCATCAATACAACATTTCTTTTAACTATTTTAAATGCATGATGCCCAAACCTGAATCAGTATTTTGATTTTTTTTAAGCTAAATACAATTGGAGTGTGTTCATTTTATTAGCCAACACACAAAAGCTAGCAAATATTTATATACTTCGGCCTTATGCTTTCATACATACGTTAATTCACCAGTCAGAAAAAAAAATTGCCAAACATGTTGTTAATATAAGCATACCTTGTGGAAAAGGGCTTGTAGATCCTGTTGGAACAGAAGAACAAGTCGAATTTTTTCCAACACCTGGTTTCCTTCCCCTCTGACTGGAACTGTGTCCTCCTGACTTCTTCCCTTTAACCTCAGCATTTTCACTCCCACTTGAAGGATGAGTTGATACTTCCTGGAAATTTGCATTTGTAAATCGAGCAGTAGTTTCTTCCAGTCTCTTCAAGGATCCCGATATAAACCCACTGCTACTGCTTGTATAAGTCTAAACATTTATGATTAAAGAAAGTACAGAGCTTAAAAACATCCTAATATCTAACTGGGACACCGCTTGAACCAAAATAGAGTTACCAATATAGTTCAAATCCCCACGATACTGCATGCATAACAAATCATGCAAACAATCAATGCAATTGAGAACAATAAACTTATCTACACCAACTATAGTCATGCTGGCTAATACAAATTTAACAGTTACACAGGAAAACACAAACTCATGCTTACTTTAGATTCAACACAATTTATACTGAGGCACTGAAACACTAATTAAAAACTGGAGATGCACCTAATTATATAAACATTGCTGAAAATTTTAAAACTACTTTTGTGCTTTTGCATACATGGGGTATGTATGTTATAATTATTGCCTCCAACTGGGAATACATCAGAACTCCCCAATTATTTTAAATCTATCTGCTTTACCACACATTAGTGGAGGATCTCTCAAATAAGGATAGGAAATTATAGTTTCCAACCTTTCACTGCTGTTTGAAATTAGTTTTCTTTCAGTTATTCACTGATTAAGGGAGGAAAATTTCAATCTCAGAACCTAACAATGGCATTCGAATTACCTGTGAGGCTGGGTTTCATCAGGACTGTAAACATCAAATGTGAGGCCACCCTGTTTGGCTGGCTCACCTCTCAGCTAACCAGCAATGCAGCGTGAATTTTCAACAGATACCTTGCAACAATACCCACATCATGGCATCCAGTTTGACCCCTCAATCCATGTGCCAACCCACCATGAGTTCATGAAATTCAGCCTGTGGAATCTGCTTAAAATCTAATAAAGTCAATTGAGTTAGTACAATGTACCTCTCTGTGCCCATGGAACTGAACCCCACCTTCAGAGAGGTGAAAAAAGATATGCACATCTATGATGAGACCAAATGTCCACCAAAAGTTACCTTGATCCTTCAGTCTATAAAAGCAAGAAAAATTGAAACGCCCAATTTATTACTTAGAACATTATGGGGCAAAATGCATGTTAAACTGCTTAACTTGTATGAAGGTTTAACAGACTGACCACAAAATATTTAAAGAATTGCCAATAAAAATAAGACAATTGTAAAATCTGGCTTATACTTGGGATTTCACATCATCAATCCAATCTACTGAACCATTCAGATTTTAAAACATTTACCTTTTCAGTTGTCACAGTGAGAGATGGAACTGTAGATGACAAGTCCAAAGATTTCTTGATTTTTTGTTGCCTGTATTTGTCCCTGTCCTTCTGTTTCTGCAAGAAAGAGTTTGTGAAAAGCCATGAATTACCAATATTGAAACATTCTTTTTTGAACATTTCACATGGTTAACTTTGAATTTTCACATTTCAAATGTATCTATCCCACATCAAACTGCACTGCTCAAGCACCCCATCCATGCTGATGTATTATGGTTCCTTGTCTCCTAGCAGGTATTTAGAAGTCCTGTAAGTCAATCTTCCTTTAGGTCAATTATTATCAAAGGCATCAACCACCTACTTTGGGATTTTCTTTTTCAAAGACTCTACCTCTTCATCTTGCCTCATTTAAGACTCTCCACAAAGCCCATCAGTTTCACCTTTAGTTCAGCATTTGCCATTCCTTGTGGCTCTCTGATTTGTTTGTCTGTGTTGAAAAATAAAATTAAAATAAAAATAAAACAAAACAATCTATTAGGACTCTCATCTACCCTATACTCTGCAACAAGTCAAATAAACTGTTTAAAAAAAACTGGAAGAACTGTGGATGCTGTAAATAGGAAACAAGGACAGAAACTGAATTAGTACAATGGACCTCTCTGTGCCAATGGAAATGAATCCCACCTTCAGAGGGGCAAAAAAGACATGCACATCTATGATGAGACCAAATGTCATCATTAGCTGACATTTCCGCCACCTCCAGCAGGATGACACCATATATTCTCCTCCTCCACTCCCTTGTCAGGGTTCTGCGGGGACCATTCCCTCCAGACACTCTGGTCCACTCTTCCTTCACTCCCAACACATGCCCTACATCATGGTACCTTCCCCCCTGCAACTGCAGAAGGTTTAACACTTGTCCGTTTACATCCTACCTCCTTAGTATCCAAGGGCCCAAACACACTTTGCAGGTGAAACAGCGCTTTACCTGCACTTCATACAATCTAGTCTGCTGCATTCACTGCTCACAATGTGGTCTCATCTACATTGGGGAAACGAAGCATAGACTGGATGACCGCTTCGCAGAACACCTACATTGTGTCCGCAAAAGAGACTCTGAGCTTCAAATTGCCTGCCACTTCAATACACCACCCTGTGCCCTGGCCAGCATCTCTGTCTCAGGCTTGCTGCAGTGCTCCAACATAGCTCAGCGCTAGCTGGAAGAACAGTACCTCATTTTCCACCTGGGGATTCTGCAGCCTTCTGGACTTAATACCGACTTCAACAACTTTAGGGCTTGAGCTCTCCCATGTTCTTACCCCACCCCCAAATACCAGACCTTGCTATTACACAAACCCATTGTTAGCCACTAACAGTCCCCACTAATAGCTGTTCACCCTCCTAGCCAGATCATTATCCACTCCTTTGTCAGTCCAACTATTCTTCTCTCTCTTTGGCTCTATCCTCACCTATCATTTACTCCTTACGCCCCTCCACACATCCTATCTTCTACAAATAAACCGACATTTTATAGCTACCATCAGTTCTGAGGAAGGGTCACTCGATGCAAAACTGATTTCTTTCCACAGATGCTGCGTGATCTGCTGAGCTTCTCCAGCAATTTCTGTTTTTGAAAAAAAACTGCTAGCTGTATACTTATTTGCAAGACTATATATACACATATACTACCACTCTGTCTCGTAGAAGGGCTAAACAAATCATCACCTAGGGCATTATGACTTAAAAAGTAATTACATTAAAAGTATGTTTAAAACAGCTCCCTGAAAGAAAAAAAAAGACAGGCAACAAACATTCAGTTTCTGTACAATTACTTGCGACGTATGAGGCAGATTGAAGGATGCAACAGATCTGTGTCTAAGATTTTTGTTTGTGTATTTATTTTTGTGGCTTTATTTTAAATAAAGACGAGAACCTCAATGCCAACTGACAAAAGAGGGGAGAAATCAGATCTTATTTTCATTATATTTTCATTTTTGCTGTATTCCCGATATTTTGCACCATGATACATGCAGCTCTGAGGGCTGGAAAAATTCAGACTTCAGTCACAATCAAAGCATTAGTGGAGTTATAAAAGTTTGGCACACTAATGCTTGCTTCAAATTTTAGTTGCTCCCTTCCATATAAAAAAAAATTCCCAGCATATTTCAGATTACAGTCCAATCCAGCAAAGTTTGTTACTATCTGCACTGAAATGTTTGAATTTAAACATAAATAATAAAGTAAGAGGAAATTATAATTTAAATTAAAATGAAACGGTTTTGAACATAAAGCAAAGTTCATTCCTTAACCTGGTTATCCAAGCTAAAGAATGTACCTTTTCAAAGGACATGTTGTTTACAAAATGTAAGTAATAACCCTGCCTGATACAAACATAAGCATTTCTTATCGCTTAAATAATATTCTTTCAAACAGAAATGGATTAAGTATGGGCAATTGCATATAAAATGCGAATTGCCAAAAAACACAACACCTGGTACTCTTTGTTCAGGTAATTAAGGTAAAAACCTTTCTGATACTTAATAAACTATCTTTCAAACATCTGAAAGCCATTTGCACTACAGCAAAATTCTCCTTACACAACATTTTCAAAATTAATTCATGAGATGTAGGCATTGCAGGCTGGTCCAGCATCTCTAGCTACACTTGAGAAGATTATGTTGAGCTGCTTTCTTGAAACGACTACAGTTCATTGGTTTCAGTAGGCCAACAATACCATTAGGGATGGAATTCCAGGATTTTGACCCAGCAACAGCGAACGATATATTTCCAAGTCAAGAGGAATTTGTAGATGGTGGTGTTCCCATATATCTTGCTCTTCTAGATAGAAATGGGCGTAGGTTTGAAAGATGCCATCAAATGATCTTTGTTGAATTTCTGCAGCTCTGTTTCCACCACACTCCCATACAGTGCAGCCCAAACCCTAATTAATCATCATGTGGAAAATCTTTTGCCATATCATACTTGCTTCTTTTGCAAATTAACTTATATCTGTGCCTTCTTGTTCTCGATCATTTTATTAAAAGGAATCATTTTACAGTCTGCTCAGCAACTTGTCAACATCCTTTTGTAGTTTCACATTGCGCCCCTCATAATTTACAAAGTTTCGAAGTTTTGTATCATCCGCAAACATGGAAACGGTCTCCTGCACACTAAGAGCTACATGATCAATATAAAATCAGGAAAAGCAAGGCTCCCAATACTGACAACTGGGGAACTCCACTACAAACCTTCCTCCAGCCCAAAATTAACGTACTGACCATCACTCTCTTTGTTTCAAATCACTTAGCCATTAAATCCAGGTTGCAACAGCCTCTTTCATTTCATGAACTATAAATTATCTCAGGTTTGTTACATGGAATTGTATTGAATGCCTTTTAAAAGCCCAGGTACACATCCACAGCATTGACTCCGTTACCTCTTCAAAAAAAAACTCCAGCAAGTTAATCAAATTCTATTTCCCCTTTTGAAAACTCTGCTGCCCCTTCCTAAACAACCCATCTTTTTCCATGTGACTACTAATTCTATCCAAAATAAATCGATTTTAGGAGCTTTCTACCACTGAAGTTAAACTGACTGGTCTGTAATTGCTGGGGTTTTTTAAAAAACAGTTTATGAGCCTTTGTCATCCCCATTAACATTAACTGCTAGCCTTTATTCATAATCCCTCTTTGCTACTTATAATTGCTTTTTCACCTCCCTTCTGAACTTCAGCTTGGTTCTCAATTGTATTTTCGACCTGACATTTATCAGAAGCAGACATATGCTCCTTTATCTTATCTATTTGCTTTCTCATTCAATAAGCTCTGAGTTTATTTGCTCTACTTTTCCATTTTGAAGGAATATACCCCAATTGTGCCAGGGCCATCCCTTCTTTAAAAGTAGTCCATATACAGCTACAGTTTTTCCCACCAACCTTTAGTTCCAGACCAGCTGCTCTCTTGCCCCACTTAAAGTCAGCTCTCCCCCAGTTAATCGTTCTTACTCTGGCTTGTCCTTCATCATTTTCGATCATCATCTTAAACCTTATGATGCAATGATCACTATTCATTAAACACTCCCTAACTGACACTTACTCAATTTTGCACATGTTGTTCAAAAAAACCAGATTCAGTAGTGCTTCCTTTCTCTTTGGACTGGATACATACTGCTATAGAAAACTCTCCTGCACACAATCAAAGAATGCTTGCCCTTTACTGCTCTCTACACTATGACTAGCCTAATCCATATTTGGGTAATTGAAGTACCACATAACACATCTATGATTTCTCCATGTTCTGAAATTTCTTTGCAAATTTGCTCCTCTACTTCATTCCCACTAGTTAGTGTTTTATAGACTACACTAAGCAATATAATTGCACCCTTTTTGTGCCTTTGTTCTAGACAAATTAATTTCATCCTTGAACCTTCTGGAGCATCTCTTTCTGCATCACTGACACTGCTCTCCTTAACCAATACTGCCAACTCTCCTTCTTTACTCATCCCCCATTTCCTGAACTCATCTTAACTAGTGATAGTTAACACCCAGTACTGCTCTTCCTTAAGCAATAACTGTTATAACCATCAGCAAGTTCCTCTCCAAGCTGTGCAACATTCCTGACCCTGAACTGTCACCACAATTCCTTCATAATTCTTGGATCAAAATCCTGAAGCTCCCTTCAGAACAGTACTTACAACTTAAGGAAAGCAACAGGTCGAGGCAGCTCACCAACTTCTCAGGGGCATTTGGGAATGGGCAATAAATGCTGATCTAACTAATTAAAAATTGAAAGAACTGCGGATGCTGTAAATAGAGATTGCTGGAAAAGCTCAGCAGATCCGGCAGCATCTGTGAAGAGAAATCACAATTAACGCTTCGGGTCCAGTGACCCTTCCTCAGTTCTGTTAGCTGCAGTCAGGACGGTTTTTTGAAACAATATACAAGTGGTCCAACAAGGGACGAGGGCATATTAGACCTATTTTTGGGAGTGAGTCTGGCCGGGTAATCTATGTTTCAGTAGGGGAGCACTTCAGGAACAGTGACCATAACTCCTGAAGTTTCAAGTTAATTATGGATAACAATAAGAATAGTCCTCAGGTGACAGTACTAAATTGGAGGA